AGTCCCAGGCACAGGGGCAGGTGTCTCTGAAGAGCCCGATGGCTTGAGCTCTCTGGGGCGGGGCCTGATGGGGGCACCGTCCCCCACAGCTGGACACGGTGCATGGGAGATGACTGCTGCCTCACCTCCTGGGCACATCCGTAGGCCAGCCACTCTTGGCGGTAGCGGTCAAAGCCACTGGAGCATCTGCAGGGGGACCAAAAGGTCAGAGAGAGGATGGAGCAGGACAGAGACGCAGCCCCTTCATTTCACCCCGCTCAGACTCACACCCAGGTGACAGCTTCCGGATGGTGGGGACGGTTAACCTCCCAGCCAAGCTCCCCAAAGTCACGAGACGTGCCCCTGGTGTACCCCCAACTCCCTCTGTTCACTCCTCCCCCCCAGGAGATGTTTTTGTTTTCACGTGTCCACTTTCCCTTGGTCCCAAGCCCCCTTTGACTTTGCGCGAAGGTGTGGAGAACCCGAGGAATTCATGTCGTCTTCAGGATAGGATGTGTCCCTTCACACCGTATCATTTGATCTCCCTTTTGACCTGTGCTGACAAGCTGAGCCAAGGCAGACCCACAGCAGAGGCCCTGCCCTTCTCCCAGCCTCATCGAGTTGAGCTAGGCCCACGGCGGCTGGCCTCCCTCTCCCTCTAGCTCCTCCCTGGCACAGGGTGAAATCTTATGCCAATTCGAGGGTTTGTTCTCATCTGACCCATTTTGAGGTTCTTGTGGCCCGGCACTGTGTGGGCGCTGAGTCATGGGGTGGCAGCCAGCCCCAGGGTCCCAGCGCTCACTCGTCGGAGGTCTCCTGGCAGAGGCCGGCATCCTCAAACTTGGACAGGCATGAGGGGACCACTTTAAAAAGAAGCCAGGGCTTCATGTACAGGAGGGCTGAGGTGGGGCCCCAGGGGATCCCGGGATGCTGGCACCTCTGCGGCCATGCTAGAACAATCCTGCTCCAGGTACAACTCCGATGCCCCATGCGTTTCCTCCGAAGCTGGAAGCTTTGTCGCCTTCACGCAAAGGGTCCCGAGGGCTTTGCCGAAATGCTGCTCTGCGTGATGATGGAGTTTCACCGGGAACAGTTCTAACAGTGAGCAGCCTCGCCCACCTTTCCCAGGACCGCATGACCTCCACTCATTTCAAGGGGAAACAAAGGAAGGCCCTTAGGTTATGGATAAAAGCGCAGCTGGGGGGTGGTGGCTTGACTTGGGCCCCCTCCCCTCCTGGCCCAGCGCTGTGCCCCGGGGCTGGGCAGGCAGCTGGGAGAAGCAGGGCTTCTTTCTGTCTCTGCACCAGGAGCTTGGGAAGGCGCAAAGGCAACGCTGACAGCGCACACGAGGCTGCAGGAGAACGCGGAGACACTGTCACGTGGCAATTTGCAAGACTGTCTGAAAAGCTCCTGGCATTCAGCAGGCTCCCCGCTCTCATGAGGACCCTGGTCCCCAAATGAAACCTTTTCCCCTCCTGCCATTTATTTATCTTGGCTGAGAGAACAGAGCAGGAAATCTGCCTCATCTGTGAGGACGTGCTTGCAGACAAGGCGGGGCAGATGGGTCGGATTTCAGAAAGTTATCCCTGAACTTGAATCTCACCCAGGGTTGTCTCTCTGGCCCATACCCAGCGAGGGAGCTTCCCACAACTTTCCATGGACGCCTGCAATTTCCACGGTCTCTCCTTTCAGGAAACCCGGATGGCAGCCTGGGACTCTCACCCGTGGTGTGGCAGAAGGTCTTTGATTCATATGCTGTCGCTAAGACCAGGTTCTCATACTTCTGTGCCCATGAGGCGCCATGGTCAAGGCAGGGAGCTAGGGCGGGGTTCCCAATGAGGTTTTGATGTACAGGGTTTGGAGGGGGACCCAGGAGCCCACAGCTCTGAGAATCCATGCCCTGTGGAGAGGCCTCCCTCCTCCTGGGATGCAAGCATTTTCCAGAAGCCTGGTGGTAGGTTCATGCCTCAGGGAGAAGTGCAGTTCTGTGGCAGTCTGGTCTTAAGGGTCAGGCTGGCACTGGCCAGAGATGCCCTGGGCCCAGCCAAGAGGCTGAGGCAGGGAGTAGGACTGTGGGAAGCAGAGGGCAAGCCAGGCACTAACCTTTGGAGGACATGGCACCAGCTGCAGTTGAAGGTCAGGTCTGAGGACACACAGGTGCCACAGCTCTGATGCTGCAGGCAGGCTGTGAGAGAGAAAGCAGTGGACCCTCACTGCCAGGACCTGGGCACTACTCTCCCACACACACTTGCCCCCCCCCACACACACACACACACACACACACACAGCCGGTCAGGCACCTTGCAGGGTGCGGGGTTTCCTTGCTGAGCAGAAAAGATGGACGCCCTGCCCAGGTGGAGCTGCAGTCTCATGGAGAACCCGTCTCCAGGGACACACAGAAAGCACACAAGGGACAGGAGACTGAAAAAGCAGAACCCCACAGGGGTCCGAAGGGCAGTGAGGGCTGCAGGCTGATGGTCTCAGGCCTCTGGGGGAGAGGACGTTTGGGCAAAGACCACGGGGGGTGGGGTGGGGCGGGGCGGGAGCCCGAAGCAAGCCCTGTCACTCAGGAAGGAGAAGTCCAGACTGAAGGGACCCTTGTGCACAGGTTGGGGGAGGTGCGAATCCAGGGGGATGCTCAACCTGTAGAGTGGAAGCAGGGAGAGGGAGGGCATGGTAGGAAGGAAGGAGGAGTCCTCTGAGGCCCAGCTTGGGCAGCACCAGGTGGAAGGGCACCAGGGAGGGGGAGCAGATTATTCAAGGGGGCATGAACCGAGAGGTTCAAAGGAGTAGGGAGTGGTGGGGGGAGGGGGAGCAGATGCTAAGAGCTGTTGACTTGTCATCAAATGCCGCTCATGGAGGTGAACAAGGAGGACCTCTGCCCACGCATGTTCCTGCAAGGAGAGCCAGGACGAGCAGGAAAGCGGTCACTCATTCAGGAAGCTTCACGCACATGGCTTCTACTGGGGGCGAGTGTCCTTCCATACAGCTAGGCCACAGTCCCTTAATTAGGGAGCCCATGCCATGGACCCCAGCGAGGGTGCAGTCCCTGGCTGTTGGTGGTGCTGCGTCCATTGGTTTGAGACCCTGGAAGGGTGGACGGGGAGCTGTGGGCAGCAAAGACACACAGGGCCTGCCTTGAATCGGAGCACCCTGACTGTCCCTGGTGGATCCCGGGAGCCTAGAATGGTGCCCAGTGCATGGCAGGCCTTGGCAAATGTTTACAGGACGGGTGGACAGATGTTCTTATTAGCTGCACTTTGCAGAGGAGGAAGCTGAGGCTGGGAGAGAGGAATAGAGCGGAGAGGGCCTGGTCTCTTGTGAAGGCAGCTTTCTCTGATCTCTTAGCCTGAAGGTCTTTCTGTGGGTTCTCCTCTGGGCCAAATCCCACCCTCGACCCAGGTCACCTCCTCACAGGAGGGCCACGAGGTGTGATGGCTTGGGGGTCACACATCCGTACTGGAGGAGAAGCCGTTGCAATAGCCTAACTCCTCCCTTCCCAGCCCCAACCCTCTAGCCCCCAGCCGTCCCTCTGGACCCCCCATGATAAGGGGGAAGAGCCTGGGGAACGTACACAGAGGTTTCCTCTGGACAGAGCCAGCTGGCCTCCAGGGGTTCAGATCACCACCTTCATAGAATGGGCCTCCCCTCCCCAGCCAGCCGCACCCACAACCCAGTCTTTCCTGGTGATCCCAGCTAAATCAGTCTTTAGAAAAAGCCCCCGGGGCCAGCCTAAAGCCCTTGATCTCTATTTCTTGTCCGCATTTCAGTGCCGAGCCGCACCTGCAGAGCGACCCAGAAATGCAGTCCCAGGAGGTTTTGATTCCTTCCCGGGACTCCTGCCCAGCAGTTAGCCCTGCCCTTGGGTGCCCTTGCTCCTGAATTCGGTTGGAGGACTTCCTGGGACTCGAGCTGTGCTCTCGTCTGTCCTTGAAGAACCCCCGATTCTCAGGCCTCTTGTCTAATAGGAGGGGGGACTAGGTGGGTGGGGGAGTTCTGACCTGCACAGATGTGCCAGCCCTTCGACCCCACGGTGTCTGCGTCCATTCTCTTTTCCAGGGAAGAGACCACGGACACGTCCACAGGCCTGGTGGTCCTTGGCTGAGATGCAGTCTGGCGTTTCAGAACGTCTTCCCCCTCGCTGTCTACCCCCCAGAACCGCCACCTCACCGCCCCCAGAGAGACAGGGAGAAGGCCAAGGCTTCAGAGGGAGGGATGCATGGGCACATGGGGCGGGAGGTGAAATGAAAGTCCGCTTTGAAAGGACCAGAATGGGGTCATCCTCCTTTCCTTCTCTCCCCAGCTTCTCGGACCACATCCCAAAGAGCCCTCACCTGGATGCTACAGGGTCCACGCTAGCCAGAAGGAGGGGACAACCCGGGAGTCTTCGAAGGCTGCTGGCGGCTAGCTCCTCTCACCGCCTCCTGCCCAAGGATTCGAATGGCCTTCCCCTCCCCCGCTTCTTAAAACCCAAACCCACTGACATCGGCCCATTCTGGCTCAGCAGGCAGAGCAGACCTGCTCGCGAGGGAAATCCGAGACTGTAATAAATCTTTACGGCAGCAAAACGCCGCCTTTTTCTCCGTCCTTGAGAAAGGTCGGCCGTTCGAACCCACCAGCCATTCTGCGGGAGAAAGGTGAGGCTTTTTACTCCCATCGAGATTGACAGCTGCGGAAACCTGAACGGAGCCTGCTCTCCAGTCCCGAGGGGCACGATGAGTCCGAGTCAACCTGACAAGGGCTTGACAGCAGGGATTTTCTGACCGCAGTTAAGTTGCCCGGTGCTTAGCCCACTGCACCACCAGATGTCCCTTAGGCAACAAGCTGAAGGAATGGTTCGGCACCTGGACTACTATTCTAGGGGCCCCAGAGTGATACCTAGCCTGGGTTTCAATGAAGTATCAATAAAAAGAGCGATATTCACTGCCACCGAGTGAATTTCCACTCACCGGCGTTGACGCCTCCTCTCTCTCCGGCAGAATAGCTGGCGGGTTTCCCTGAGGCCAGCAGCCTAACTCATCACCACTCCAGCCCAGGGCTCCAGCCACGGACCAAGCACATGCCACCTCACGCTACCCCCAGGCCTAGGATGAGTCACAATCAGAGCTGCTGTCTGTGTTCCCAACCCAGCCACTGCCTCCCATACTTCTAACCTTTTCTTCCTCTGGGGGACGGTGTTGGGGACCCATCTCACCGCAGAGAGCTGGCCACCCAGAGACCCAGAGGCTGCGCCCACACAAGGAGCAGGGGCAGGTGTGATGTCCCAGCTCCTTCCAGGATGGCAGAAGGCCCCGTCGGTGGAACGACTCCTACTCACTTGGCAACGGGGTGAACTCCACAGCCGATGTGCTAGTGACTCTGCGGGGGTCCAGCTCCACGCGGTGGTATTCAAAGATGGTCCTTCGCCGAGATTCTGAAACAGAGGCAAGGCCTGATACCAGAGGCAACTCGTGCCCAGGGGGCTTTGAGGCTTGTCCCCAGAGCCTGACAGATGGGGCAAGAGATGACAGCAGCCACCGAGGGCAGCAAGTCAAGCCCTCACCCTGGGTCAATGGTGCTGAAGCTGCAGAGCAGCAGGCCAGGCCAGCGGGGGTAGGAGAGCAGTGCTTGACGCAGGTTAGACTGTCCACCGCAGAGGCCTGGCTGCTCCTGCGTCAGGACACAGGAGGCCCGAGCTCCCAAGTGTCCACCCTGTCCTTCCCTTGGCGCATACTGTTCGAGCACCCTCCCTCCTTGTCTAACGCATCGTTTCAGATTCAGCTCATGGTCGGCTCCCTTGGCCAGCTCTCTCCTCCTGCCCCGAGGCGAGAGGCCCTCACCCACCGTTCTCCCCATGGAGTGCAGACATTAGGGCCAGTCTGGAGGGTGGATGATGAACGAGGAGCACCTGGGCCAGCCCGAACATGGCCCGGCTGACCTCAGAGCACCTCGACCCTCCTGGGCAGAGGCCCAAGCAAGGTTCAGGATCTGGTTGAAGTCCTGCTTTGGTCCCTATACCAGGAGCCCTGGTGACATGGTGGGTGCACACCACAAAGTCAGCAGTTAGAAACCACCAGCCGCTCCTCGGGAGCAAGACAGGGCTTTCGGAAACCCACAGAAGCAGTTCCACCCTGTCCCGAAGGGCCACCCTGTCCCGAAGGGCCGCACTGACTCCTTGGCAGGGAGTTTGGGGCTTCAGTGTTGCTCCCTACAGGGACTTCCTACAGGACCGCCGCCGCCGGGTCAGGGGGCCCAAGTCCAGATTCCAGTTCTGCTCCTGACATTCTGGGTACCTGTGGGCAAGTTACTGGGCCTGGGTTCTGGGAAACTCAGCCTGTGAAGTGAAGAGACAGGAACACCTGTCGTGACATCCTGGGGAGGAAAGCTGGCCGTGTAGAAAGGCCTCTGCTACAGCAGCAACCCACGGACCCAGCACAGCTGCTGTCAGACCACCTGTGTGACCTGAGATGAGATTTAAATTCTGTGCCCTCCATCCCCAAGTGGTCAGATTATACTCCATGAATACAGTGTGTGTGTGTGTGTGTGTGTGTGTGTGTGTGCAGGCCCAGGCGCCAGCGCTCAGCGCAGCTCCAGAAAGTCAGTCCCTGAAAACTGCAGCCAGTTGTCTGCGGATGAATGTTCCACAACAGGCTCAGGAGGGGAGATGGAGCGCCCCGATCTGCAGCATCTGCCAATTTCTGTGATGTGAACCCTTCCTGTAACCGCCGGGAGTTACTGCTCGCGGAGCGGGGAGAGATGCACCCCCTTGTCACGGCTGTGTGCTGTAGTTGTGCTTCGGACGAGGGTCCAAAGTCAGCATTTACATCTTTTCCCTTTAAAAATAAGTCACTGCACCCACCTCCCTAGGACACAACAACTGTGCTGCTTATTCTCCCAAGCCCGGCGTCTGAGAGAGACGAGCCCCAGACATCACGGTCGTTGTCAGATGGCCATGGGCTACGGTGGGCTCAGGGAGGAGAGAATCCTCAGTCACAGGCTGAGGCAGCGAGGCACACGGAGTCCCTGCACACACATGGACACACAGCCCGGTGATAGGAGAGAAGCCCCCAGCCAAGGCGGGTGGCGGGTGGGGGCTGACACAGATCACAGTGAAGGAGGGCAACGGTTCACGGCTCGCCTGCCCAGAAAGGGTGCCGATGTTCACAAAGCAGAAAGGCCGGCGTGTACTGCCAGAGGCCTCCTTGTGGGACAGACACACCAAGGCTCTGAGGAGGTGGCCTGGGCCCTTAAGGAGCTGGTCAGTGTGGGAGGTCTAGGTGGGGAGTGGGCCTGTCCCAACTTCTCATCTCCCCTTCTAGAAAAAAAGTCAGCCCTTTTGGCACCAAAACCGAATAAACTGAAAACCACACTCACGGGCATTGAGCCCGTCCAACTCCCACTGACCGCCCAGGCCGGGGCAGACCTGCCCTGTGGTTTTCCAAGACTGCGACTCTTTGGGGAGCAGAAAGCCTCTTCTTTCTCCCTCAGAGCAGCTGGTGGTTTCAAAGTGCTGACCTTGCGGTATCAGCCCAAAGCTAGCCCACTAGGCCACCAAGACAGAACAGGAGGAAAAGTAAGCGTGGGGCCGCCCCAGGCCACCCATTTTGTGCTTTCCAAGGTGCTGGAGGCTACGGAGTCTAGACTCGAATGTAATCCTCCTTCTTCCATCGGCAAAGCTTTTAAGGAAGTTTCTCAGCCAAACATCCAAAGATGTCTCCTTGAAGCCATCTCGCACCATCCACCCTTAGAAGCATGGGCCCGGCCCCAGCACCCTGTGCAACGTCTAAGGCCCACCCTCCCTCTGCCATGCTGGTCACCCAGCGGTGAGCACCCCAAAGGCAGAGTCTGCCCCTGGCAGGAACAGGTTCTCAGGAAATGACTGCAGGAACGAGCTACACAAACTCCTGAAAGCCTCGGTGACTTATAACTTCTGTCCACCTCGCAATAGAAGAACACCCTTTCCTTCCAGCCCACCACAGATCAGGGCCTTCTGCAAACAGGCACAGAGCGCCAAGCTGGCCTGTCCTTCATGAGCAGAGAGAGCTGGTCTCCTTGCCAGAAGGCTTGGGAGAGATTGGGGTTGGGTCAGAGTTGGGGCATCAACAGAGAGAAAGACTTGTCAAGAGACCCCAGAAACCTCAGTCCAAAATCCTGGCCCGGGTTTCTAGACTTGGGGATGGGGTGGATCAAGGGGTAGGTGATGAGCCTAGAAAGGTCAGTTAGGCCCAGCAGTTAGGGCCAGAATTGGACTTAGCCTCGGAGGCAACGCAGGGTCTCGGAATGCCATGATTGGACCCGATTTAGAAAGAGCAGCCCAGAGGGTTGGGCGGTAGAAGGCAGGGTAAGGAAAGGCAGGAGCCCCAGGACAGCCTCTGGAGTTGGGCCCCGGCTCTCACCCGCAGCGGTTGGGCCTAACCCCTCAGCCCCCAGCGTGGGAGTCTGAGCATCCAGCTGCTCCCAGGATAGAGAGACCAAGCGCATGTCTCCTTCCCTAGCCTCACTGAGCACTCGCACGCGCTGCCGCCTGGATGTTGTTTCAGGTGGGATGTGCTTCCGCCCTGACCCCTCTCTACCCAGCCTTGCTCTAAAGTAGTCTTTCATTCCAGAATCACAGAGGCACTTCGGCTACAGACACTCCCCGGGGAGCTGACTTCCTCCCACTCACCCTCATCCTATGGCTCGATCCAGCCCACAGGCCTGGGAGAGGGACACAGAGGGAGCAGGCTCCTGGAGGAACCCCCAGGGGTGAGGGAGAGTGGAATGAAGGCACCAAGGAGTCGCCTGCCATCTCCGAGATCCAACTGACAGAAGCATCTCCAAAGGTTAGGTAGGGAACTCAGGGGTGGGTAAGGTTGTGAGTTCCTGTTGATGGGGGAGGAGCAACTCAGAGGAGGAGGGAGAGAAGAGGAAGATGGTACAATGCTGAGGCCGGCACCCTGTCACTGGGTGGCACACACGGAAACGGTGCAGCAGGGTGTGATCTGCAGTGTGGATTCTAAAGAGTGATCTGAAATCAACATCCAACGGGACTGTCCTACACAGCACCCAGGGCTGGGGAGGTTGGAGCGGGATGTATACAAAGGGCTGTCGGGTTTGAGGGCGCTGGAGAGGAGAGAATTCTTCCCTCGGCAGGGTCAGATGAAGCCCAGCGGGACAGGGGACCCAGGGAACCAAACTGAGCCAACCGGGGTTGAAGCCCCCCCAATGGAACCGGGGGGCCGAACCCAAGCAACCCGGCCCAACGCCCAAAAAGCCTGCCCCCTTACTCACAACACTCGGAAAGTGAAAAACCAAACGCACTGCCATCAAGTCGCTTCCAACTCACAGCAACCCTACAGGACAGGGTAGAACTGTCACGGTGACTTTTATGGGAGGAGAGAGCCTCGTCTCTCTCCCCAGGAGCCACTGGAGGTCTCGAACTGCTGACCTCAAGGTGAGTAACTCAACCCGTAACCACTACGCCACCAGGGCTCCCCTCGTGGTTGGGAAAAAGATCCAGTAAAATCCCAACTCTCCTCCACCCATCCATCCTCTCCCTCTACCACCATTCCCCTAAGAGCTCTGGGTCCCACCGGGCACCCACCTGGCATGTCCGGGGAAGGGTTGAGGATCATGAAGGCATCTGACAGGCCGGCTTTGACTGGGTGCTCGGAGCCGCTCATCTCCAGGACAGACATGGGGATCTGCAGGGAGAGGCCGCTTCGTCTAGCCCCCAAAACGCCCCCAGGCCAGCCCAGGTCTCCCCTCTGAAACCCAGACCACCTGCCCACTTGCATCTCTCAGGGGACTCAACAAACGCACGGCGCCAGCCTGAACCCCACATCTCCCCCATACCACCGCCCAGCGCATTTCCCTCCCCTTTTCCCATCTCAGTGGCGGCTGCTTCCACCCTGGGGTCACCCCAGCCCCCCCCACCCCCACCCAATACATCTCCAAGCCTGGTGCACGAGCCAAAGTGACTTCCAAATCTGAGTTTCCTACTGTCCAGCCCCACCGGCCCCACATCCTTTCCAAGCTCCTGTGACTTCTCTCCTGACCTCAGCCAGGGCCTCAGCATCTCCCAGCTCTCTGAGCGCCCCCACTCTGAAGCCAGAGTGACCCTTGTCAAAGATGCTTCTGACTGTGTCCCTGTGACCCACCCTGATTAGCTGGAACCAAAGAGTGACTTCCTGTGGCTCTCAGGGCCCGCCCTGCCAGGGGAGCTGCCCTCACTACCTGCCTCTGAAGTTTCAGCTCCGACTTGTCTCTCACTGGCTCCCCGGTCAGTGCCTTAGGCCAGGCAAGCTCTGGCCTGCCTCAGGACCTTTGCTTATCCTAGTCCCGCTTCCTGGGACACAGTAGTCCCCCCTCCAGGCTGCACAGTCTGGGGAGAGGCCCTCCTGGCACCAGGCATTTCGGCTTCAGAGCACTTGAACCCTGGCCAGTGTACAAGGGCAAGTAAAAAAAAAAAGCAAAATGTGCAACCCAATCACAGAAACCTTGACTGAGCGAAAACATCAAAATGTGAAGCTATTGTGTCTGGGCACGTCCTTCCTCCAGGTCTGCGCACTTCTGAAGGTGGTCTGTTTCTCTGATCTGTGCTCCAAGATGCAGACCCCTTCAAAACGGCGGTGGGGGCCTCCTCGGGGACTCCACTTGAGTGCCTTTGAAATGTTCTTAGAGTTTGGGGAACAACACACAGAGAAGCCAGTGTTGTAGAGGGGCTGGGGAAGGTTTCCCAACCCTGTTCTGGTGGGACAGCCCCTACTACCGTAGATGAATAGATGAATGGACAGGTGCGTCATCCTTGGCACAACTTCCCCGACCTTTTTCTCATCATCACAGTTTGCGGTGTTCTTAACACTTCTCCATCATAAGCCCCAGTGAGTGTCCTTTGTCCTTGGAGAAAATCTATCAAGGTGACCTCTTGGAGCCTCCAAAACCCAGTCACCATTACCTTCTGAGTTGACCTCGCTGACTTGAATTTTAGGGGCCCACAGAACCACTTGGAAGCATTGCTTTGCTGGGACCTTTGGTGGAAGGCCCCCTAACAAGGCGTAGGCCTGTGTGTAACACAGAGGCCTTGTCTGCAGCCATCCGCTGATCAGAGCGACGTGTCTCGCCCCGATGGGTTTGGGATAAACCCACAGGGGTAGGAGCGGGACCAGAGCGGCCAGGCTTTCTGCCTTCCTTTGTCCAACCAGCCTGTAAGCTCCGCCACCGCAGAGCCCACCACTTCCAGAGCCCCGGCTCAGGCTGCTTCCCTCCAAATCCCTGCTGGATGAAAGGAAGGCTCCGCAGGGCCCCTCACCTCTTTGTAGCCAAAGACAATACGGCCATCCCGATGTAGAGCCGCCTGAAACGTGAACGTGCCCCTGTCCTCCCAGCCTTGGAGGTAGACGTGGTCCCACTGGACGATGAAGACAGTCCCTGGGGAGAAGGGCAGAGACCTGGCTGCAAAGGGAGGTGGTGCGGGGAGCAGGGCCCTGCAGAGGTGAGGACCTGTGTGAACGGGCTCCAGGCTGGCTCCCTGCAGGGGACAGGGCCAGCCTGCAGTGTGACCGGAGGCAGGGGCTGAGCAGCGTGAGCCTGGCTCCCAGAGTGGGACCAGAAGCAGGTCTTGTTTCACCCCCCAGGCCCTGTGCCTGCCTGCTTCTTACCTCCTGTCCTCGCCTGACCCCTAGACAGGACAAGGAGGAGAAACGAGGAGGTGTCTAGTCTCCCTTGGTTGGGGAAGCGAGGGGGTAAAAGACTTCCGGGTCTAGTTCACCCCCACCAAGAGCCTCCTCGGAGCCTGCACGGCAGCAGGCCTTCTTGCCCCCCTCTCACAAATGAGGCGACTAAGCAGCAAAACATGGGGACCTGCCTGGATGCCGTGTGACCGTGAGCAAACCTCTTGCCCTCTCTGCACCTTGGGCTCCTCCCAAGGGGCTACGTCAAGGGAACCCTGGGGCTGAGGGACTCCGCTCTGGTCTCACCGTTGTCAAAGTACGCAACCGTGGAGTTGTCTGAGTAGCCAGGGTTGAAGTTGGCCATCAGCGGGGCCACGTACTGAGTGGCTGTGAGCATCCGGTGGATGACGTCCCCCATGAAGATGAAACCTGGGTGGGGACAGGGCAGAGAAGTCACCAGAGATGGCCCACGGGGCTGCTCTCTCAGATCTTTCCCATCCGGGTTGATAAAAAGCCCCCAGTGCC